AATCGGATCCGGTGTCGGCCAGCAGTTGACTTGTCAATCCATAACGGTTGGATGCGGTGTAACGCTGTAACCTGTTGCTTGCCTGCTGTAGACACTCCGGCCGCGCCGGTGTCTGGCATGATGCCTTGGAACTGCTCGCGCCCGTACCGGTGATCGAGTGTGAAGAGGTGGCTTGCCTCTTTGGCAATGTCGTTGCCGGCGTATGGGTCGATCTTCGTGATCGCGTGTAGAGCGGCGGCGTTGTTGAGGTTGCGTACCATTGTTCCTCCATCAACTGCACCGCAGGTAGCAGTGAGAAACTGGTGCTTTGTATCAAACTGGTCGTTGTTGAAGAACGCGTCGAGTTCTTCGTCCGTGCCGCCGTTATCGTCGTCGTCATTAAGGTCAATGCCCTCAAACTGGGCAAGGAAAGCTTCGTAGTCTATATCGACGTTGCGGGTCTGCACGTACGTCCGGAAACGTTGTTGCGCTTCCTTTCGCTCTTCTCTAGAGTGACGAGTTGACCAGCAGCCTGGCTTGCTACAGACGTAGCACTTCCTGTTATTGCGGCGCTGTGTATCATCGTTGTACTGCGATCGGGGTAAGCTGCGTTGGAAGCGGGATCCTCCGCGGTTGTAGTTGCGGGATCCTTCGCCTTGGCCTTGTGCGCTATAGTTGCGCGGTTTGTCGCGTTGTCCGCTATCGTTGCGGTTGTATCGGCGGTTTGTGTAGAACGCGTCTTCGCTCGGATCGGACTCCTCGCAGTTGAACTGTGAGCGCGGATGGCAGCGCGTCCAGTTGCCGACAGCGTTGCGGAGTTCTGAGGCAACGGCTTCAAAGGTTGAAGCTGGGCGGATAAGGACTGCGCTACATGCTTCGACGCCTTGACAGGCAGCAATAAGTTGGCTTGTAAGAGCGAGCTCGCTTGGTCCATTCTGTTGAGTCATTGCCTGGTGCAGCAGCTGGAGCTTGTCGATGACTATGTCGAGACACTGGGTGAGTGTCTTGTCGGGGTTGTTGGCGATGACGTCTTTCAGCATAATGGTGCGCCACTCACTTAAGAACATTTGGTAGTTCTCGCTCGTGAGAAAGTACTCCCCTAGTTTCTTGATAATGCTGTCGTAGTCTAGGTTGAGTGGAGCAATGTAGTTGTAGTAGTATGCTGAGGCCTTGCCTCTAAGCATAGTAGAGACTGCAAGTTTGTACTGTGCTGGTGTCGTAATGCCAACCTTTTCGCAATGGTCTTTAAAGATGACTATCTTGTTGTCGAGGACGTCATACTTGTCGCCACTGAACTTCTCCTCCTCACTGTATACCTTTGCGAGGTTGGTGAGGGCTGTTACGTTTGCCTGAGCAGGAGATGGCGCATAGTTTATACTGGCGCTTTGAGTTGGCGGGTTGCTGCTTTGTTGAGTTGTTCTAGCGTGTTGTGCCTCTTCTGCTATCTGTCGGCATTTGAAGTCTGGGTTGAGTCGCATAACGTTGAGCTCGTCAATGGGCCAGTCGGGAGAGCGTGTAAGGCTAAGGAGATTGACTAGCTGTTGTGCGATGGTGTTGCGGCTGTTCTTCTCGATGTAGACACCTCGGTCGCGGAGTATGTTCTTGACTGCTGTACGGACTCGCATGTCCATTGCATTGAAATGATTGAGAGACCATCCTGCAAATGTCTCTTGGAAGTCTTGAATAAGCATGATGTCAAAGTCTCCGTTCTCTTCGGCCTGTATCATCCAGTCGATAGCAATAGTGCTTATCTGACCAGGGATAATAGCATCGGTTGCAATGTCGAGTTGGGTATTGGTGTACTCGTCCGCGTACACCTTTGGGTACCATTGCCGGGTAGTAATGCTTGTAGGCATGATTCCGGTGGGTTGCTTGTGAGTCGCGGGGTTGCCTGTGGGTCGCTTGTAGATTGCCCGTAGGTCGCTCGTCGCGGGGTTGACTGTGGCGGGGTTGCTCGCCGGTGATTTTGTCGGGTTTTGGTGCGTAGTTGACGCAGATCCCTAGTTCTGGATCTCTTTCAGACTCCGTCAGCCGAAACGAACGCTCGTGGGCGGATCTGTTCTTCGCACTGCTTAATACGATACAAGGTCGTACTAAGAGTCGCTTCTTAACCTAGGCTACACAGACGCAATGCTGATGGGCCCTCTGTACACAGATGTCTTGCCGATCTGTGGTCATATCAACCACTGATCAGTGTTGACACGGCAAAGGTGTCGAATACTAGCAGTCGTTGCAACGAACAAAGTGTATAGTATTTGATTAGTAGTGAGCAAGAGCTGGATGGAGAGATCTCCATATGTACGGTTGCGAGCTAAGCGGGAAGCTTGGTCTAACTAGTGGTCCAAGCTTCCGGCCCGGAAAAACTCGCCGGGCTGGCTGTACGCGCATGTTCCGACAATAATACTCTAGGACAATATTGGCAGCGGAAATACAATGAATATTTTTGAACTGCCGACATTAATCTTCGCTTTTTCCTCTTTGTTTTTAGAAGACAGAAAACATAGTGACCACATCTTCATTTTAAGAAGTAACCGGAAAGAAGAACATTGGAGATTATCGAGTATGTTGATACGGCAAAGGTGAGGTTGAATCAAGTAACGGTCGTTGCAACGAGTTGAAGTAGATGGTTATGATTGATTAGAGGAGGTGGGCTGCAGCTCGCGTACGAACTGAATCCCACCCCACGGCACGGGCCACGCACGTAGTCACGTGCTCGCCACGTACGTACGGTGGCTCGAAACTAAGAGCAACCAACAGAGTAGATTTCTAGAAAGCAAAAGAAAAGCGCGGAGAGCAACACATAGTTCTGCCCGTATAGGTTTTAGAAGTATATTGAAAGGCAAATGTGTAGTGGTATGTGGGCGAGAGGGGGAAGCAGAGGGGAAAGAGAGCTTAAATACTGTTTTCTGCCAAGACTTGGAAGAATGTCACGGTTTGCTCTGCTCCTGCAGTCGCAACTTACCTGTGTAATGGAACGATGCCTATCTAGGACTAGCGCTGTTGACGGTCACCCACCTACATATACAGTTTGTAGACTCAGACAATACAACCTCAGTTTAATCCTTCAATTCTTCCAGTACCCACTATTCCCAACAAAGAAACATCCAGAAGGCCCTTGGCGGTTTGAAATCTGTCGGTAAGAAGTCAAAGTTTCGTTTTTATGGCTCATTTGATTCAGTGCATGATTATGGCAACTTGGCTGATTTCGTTGGAAACTCTTTTCGCGGCTTTGTTAATATCCTTCTCGTGCCAACATCCATTGAGTCCTTCTAGTTTTTGG